TACTATAAAATCCACCAGAGAGAAGGAAACTGGACCAGAGATGGGAACCGTACTACCGGATAGTAGAGCAGACGGGCCCAGTATCATATGTAATATGGGATCAAGTGGCAGGACGAGCGAGGAGGGTTCATGCCAATGATCTGAAGAAGGCTGAAATAGCTAACCTGGAAATGAGCGAGCCGGGGCCTAAGAAGACAAGGAAAAGGAAGGTAACTCTGGTTGAACCGGAAGGAATGGAGACGGAGGAAGACTCCGAAGAAGATGAGGAGATAGGTCGACTTGACCAGATAAACGAAGCAGTCCGAGGACAGATTTGGAACCCTCAGCGGGGATTAGCGATGTTCAGTCGTCGACTGAATCAGTGCAGAGAAGACCCCAGAAATCGCCATCGCACCCCATGTCCGAAGAAAAGGAAGAAAAAGACGAAGAGGTCCAAACAAGCAGTCGAAGGCTTTAAAAGGAGGCACCCTGAACAGGACGAAGGGTCCAGCGAGGGAGGAGGAGGATCAAAATACCCCTTTCCCAGCTTAGGGAAAGGATAAGGAACAGGAGAAGTTTAGACATAGAGTCGAGAGGTATTGAAGACATTCAAGGCGAAGACTCTAAACAGAAAGAGGAATCAGAGGATGAAGAAGAGGACAAAAAACCTCCTGGACGGGAGTTAAACACAGAGAGAAGGTTAGAGGTTGAGCAGGAATCACCTCGGAAGATGAGATCAGGGAGGGAGAAGAACCCCAAATCTCAGTAGAACAAAAGGGCTGTGCAGAATAGAAGCATTTAGTGTCAACAGATAACGACACTGGCTCATCCAAGATCCTATTGGCTGACTATGGTAGATGTGAGTGGAGGGGATGGAGATGCGGGCTGCACCTCACGAGGAACGGAAGATCATTGGCATTATTGATTGGCCACCAGTGGTGTCATGAAGTACGACCTTTAGAGTGGGCGCCACGCACACCTGACCAGACCATTCTGTCTGCTAGGGGTTAGTTAGAGGAGGGAAGAGCCGAACTAAGAGGAAAGTTATGAAATGATTGAGTGAAGAGTCGAGCGAGACTAAGTGATTGTGAAGGATTTGTTACCTTTCAGGAATGATAGCAAGGTACAAGGTGGAAGCAGACTACATAGCATTAAATTCGGGGAGGACGAAATTCATGTTACTATCAGCTGAAGAAGCTAGAAGGTGTAGAGATGATACCCCAGGGACCTGTACCTCGTTAAGCCCTATCTATAAAACTGGTAACCGCAGACTGTGCATACTAGAATTGTTTGAAGGAGAGGGAAGGAATCAAAAAGAATCTGCCAAGTAGAGGTATTAACAAACTCGGCATTACCACAAGCTATCAGTGTTTCAGACGGGGTGTGGGCAGTAGCCACACAGAAACATATCAGCCTGTCTAGGGTATGTGGGGAGAGTCCACAAGGACATTAAGAATAAGGCCACCGTTATCCCTGGTGTCGCTACCCAAGGGATGTTCGGCGGTTGGGGTGTCCATCTCCTTGCCCCCTATTACCAGATGGAAGAAAGGTATGAAGAAAAAGATTCACTCATAGAGATGATTGGTAGAGGCTTAGTCAATTGTACAGAATTATGGGGAGCCGATAGTAAAGAGATTCTCTAATGTCACCTTAAATAAGATGCCAGTATTAATGAAGCCAATAGAAAAGATCGATATGGATCACTTAAGGGATAAGTTAAGTGCGTTGGGAGACGAAGGTGTAGCTTGGGAAGACGATGAGCAGATCGCGATAAGTTGGTCAATAGTAATGGGTACATTCCTAGTTATAGCCCTCGGGGTGTAATAATATGGAAGATTAAGAGTAAGAGAAGATTAGCGAACGACAGTCTAGTGAGCATGCAACAACTCGAGAGGGAGACGCCGAGCGGTGTTCCTCACTCAGACAGGACTGGCGAAGAAATTGCTGGAAGACCAATGGAGGAGGCTGGCGTGAGACCACCACGTGCGGCGGAAAACCTCCCACAGCAGAGAGGAAAACATTGACCAAGAAGAACAAACCCTAATGAACACATCTGCACCTACAGACACACGCACACATTTCATTGCATGTAGAACAGAAGAAAATGAAAAGAACATTTCATTGCATGTAGAACAGAAGAAAATGAAAAGAACATTTCATTGCATGTAGAACAGAAGAAAAATGAAAAGAACATTTCATTGCATGTAGAACAGAAGAAAATGAAAAGAACATTACATTGCATGTAGAACAAAAGAAAATGAAAAGAACATTTCATTGCATGTAGAACAGAAGAAAATGAAAAGAACATTTCATTGCACGTAGAACAGAAGAAAATGAAAGGAACATTACATTGCCTGTAGAACAAAAAGAAAATGAAAAGAACATTTCATTGCATGTAGAACAAAAGAAAATGAAAAGAACATTTCATTGCATGTAGAACAAAAGAAAATGGAAAGAACATTACCCTTGCATGTTAGAAAGTAGAATAGAAGTGCATGAGACGAATGCATGGTGCATGTTAAATGATGTAATTGGGTTTAGGTGTCATTTACGGGTAAATGACAAATCGGTTAGGGGAGGATTATGGCACCTTGCATTTATTGGAAATATTCATAGAAATATGAGTTAATTTTTCTTATTCAGTTTATTAAACAGGTTGTTTTTTTTTTTCTTTAAAACGGAAAATAACTGGGTTGAAAATAATTCACTAAGAATGTACTAAACGATCCTAAAGCAAGGAAAAGAAAGAAAGGAAAAAGGAAGAAAGGAAAGATAATAACAAAAGGGGAAAGAAAGGAAAAGACATGATATCAAAACAGGCCGCTGGGTGTGGATCAGATGTCGGTCAGAGCCTCTGACTGACCTTAATTTTTGTTGAAAGAATAGAATTGGAGATATCGGTCGCGAGCGCTGACCGACATTTTCGTAGAAGAATTCTTATCAAAATAACGAAAGGTAACTTTTAAATTAGAATAATAGAAATGAATTTTACTTTAGTCAGAGAGAAAGTGTCTTTGGGTTGGGGAAGTGACTGGTGAAAACGATATACGGAATTGACCTGTTAAGAATTGGACACCCACGTTAAGAAAGTAGAGATATTTCGACCTAGATAATTAAGATTCTCGGCTATCAGGAAAACAAAGAGGTAAAAAGAAGAGCAATTGTTTTTGGACCACGGAGGGCGCCAGGAAGGCGGAAAAGATCCTTTCTAAAAGTCAAGACTAATTAGCAGCGGGCTGTTTGACAAAGTCCAGGTGAGAGAGGGCAAGGATTGTCATTTTGCGTACGTGCAAAAAGGTGCGAAATCGGATTTTGTTTTTTTAAAACCAGCACGATGTAACCACACCCCGCCAACAAAAGGGAGAGGGTGTTCGGTCAATAACAATTGGTCGAATACAATCACGTGACCGCGGAAGAAGAAGGAAAGAAAACCTCGATCAATAACTGTTGGACGAGGCGGTCACGTGGGGCTGCGGAAAAGAAGAGAAAGAAAGGTTCGATCGGGAAACGATTGGTTGAGAGCGATCACCTGACATGAGAGAGACTAAGAGAAATAGATATGCGCCGCCCCCCCAAGAGCACTGTGAGAAAGTAGGGGTGAAAAACAATAACGATAATGGAAAGTCAAAATTAATACGGCTTTTGAATTATCGAGAAACCCCTGACGCCGACCGACCCACCCCGGTTTGTTGCGGCGTCAATATAAGCAGGACCCCAGTCGGCAGAAATCAGTTGAGCTGAAGTTGAGTTGAAGTTGGAGTTAGGTTGGGCGTGAGTTGCAGTTCACCCTCGGACGACAGAAGAATCCTCGAAACAAGAAATCCTTCCAGCCCAAGTTGAAGACAAGAAATCTTCCACCGAATTGAGACAAGAAATCTTCCACCAAGTTGAAACAGGAAAACTACCAGCCCAAGCAGACGAAGAAGAAGAAATACAACTCAAGTCGGAGAGAAGAATCAACTGCGAATGATCGATAGAAATCAGCCCCAGTGTCGAACTGAACCACACTCCGACATACATACATGATTCTAGAAAGTAGGTGATTCGACATTTTTCTATTGTGTGATAGAAGCTTGGTGCCATAGTCCACAGAGCGGGTCGGGAAATGAGAACACTTTTGTTTTTATGTAACGGACTTTAAGATATAAAAGGTTGTTACCCTTTTTATCAGCAATTTTGTTTGGTGTCGTGAGTTTTTATTTTATTTGTGTTTTGCCACCCCGTCGGACTCAACTTGTATCGGCCCCTGATCCCTGCTGGTCCTGTCTGTCTAAGATCTAAACACAGCGTGGGTAGACAGACCGAGATCGGTATAGTTGCTTTAGTGACCAGGTATTGGAAGCGAGTCGGGAAAGGCGAGGCTGGTGATCATCTGACCAAAGGGTTGGAGCGGCACGCTTGGACCCAGGAGGAGCGACCAGGAGGAGCGACGTCACCGTTGGCGCCGTAACCAAAGGATCCGACACTGGGCCAGGTGTGTAACCGTCACATCATTCTTTCAGAATTTTAAAACGTCTACCAAAATTTTATACTTCAAATTTTTCTTCCTTTTTATTTGCATCTTTTTTTTTTCTTTCACTTCCATTTGATATTCAATACTATCATATGTACATTTTTTTTCTTTCACTTCCATTTGATATTCAATACTATCATATGTACATTTTACCTTCCATCTCAAATGTCTTCTATTCTTTATTTCTTCGTTTATATTTTTTCAAATTATTCTCAATTTACGTTTTTCTTTCTCTTTCTCTTTTAATTGCTTTCTTTCTTTTTCCTTCAATCATTCAGGCTTCAAATTTTTATTATCGTGATTTTCTTTTAAATTAATCAATACTGACCTAGCATCTGCAATATTACCGGTCTTGAACTAACACCTCGGCGTTAATCATTTCCCCACCTGCGTTACTTAGCTTCTCTTTGTGATTTCTACAAATATTTTCATTAAAAAAATGTTCAGATATTCTTTCTTCTTTGCTGCCTTGACTTCACGGATTTAAACACACTACTCACTTGGATACTTACGGCCATATCCAATTGAAACACCTATTCTCGAAGGATCACCGAAGCTATGCAACGTCGGGCCTAGATGGTATCGAGATGGGTGACCTCTTGGGAATACCAGGTGCTGTAAACTTAAATTTGCGTTTATTTACATTATTCGGACTGTTATCCTTGTCTTCATTGCAATATTCACAGCGATAGGGCGCTTGCAAGCAACGGCCTTCTTCACGTGATGGGGATTTCGAAACGAAAACATTATATTGTCGTCCGGGGTAGACTATTGTTGTCCTACATGCCCGGCCTCTTCCGGATGTCTCAATTATTTACCTTTAACTCAACTCTCCAAGTTTTGAGGCTCACCGTTTCTGTAACCTGGTATTGAACTCACAACTCTTTGGGTCTATTCACTGGATCTAACCCGCGTCTTTATCCATTGGGCCATGTGTCTTTGTGGACACATTGTCCACTGCACAGTTCACAGCAGTGGTGAACCAAAACTTAGAGAATTTAGTTAAAGTTATCTGAGACATCCGGGAAAGTCTTGGCATGTGGAACTAGAACAATGTACGCCGGTGGACGAAATAAAGGGTTCTGTTCGAAATCCAATCACCTGAAGAAGGGCGAAGCGTACAACGGCCGAAACGTTGTGAAGATGGCTATGGAGATTAGGATAACAGTTCAAATAATGTAAATAATGTGAATAACCCAAATGCCTCATCTCAGAGATATGAACAAATATTGGATGTGCGGGTTTTCTAATATATAAAGAACTCTGAGAGTCGAGTTCCAATTCCAATCGGGTTTGTTATTGTTATGGTAATTTACCCACGCCCACATGGATTCTCCCAGCTAGAATTAGGATCAGGTACTACCTTTTAGGGAGGTAAGTTTCCAGCAGTCATCTCTGACAGTCAGACCGAACATTCTTGCTGTAACACTATCGTTTGTAAATGTTTCTATTACTGTTTTTTGTTAATATATTAACATGTTCCTCGCTTTGTGTCTCTATTTCTGGCTCTAACAGTTCTATTCATTTATGCTCCCAACTATGGGTTAATTAGTAAGACTTGCATCACTAAACAATTCTTGTCTGAAAAAAAAAAAAAATCTTGCAATTTAAAATATTTGTTTGTCTTTAAATAACTTGTAAATGATTCATAAGCCGTAAGAAACGAATCAATCAAACCAGCAGTACTCGCTTGAGAGATCTCATTATTTTACTGTTGAAATTGCTAAATATTAACGTAAATTCTTTTTTGATAGTTTTTTCTTTATCGCAGTTTTAGCCTGTGGGGACTCTCTTCCGACTTCTTGCATTCCTGTCAAGTATAATGTTCAAAATTTAAATGCAACGTCAATCGTCATCTTATGTCTCCTTGAATCCTGTTTCCTTATGGTTCTATCTCCTCAGTGGTTTTCTCAGTTTCCTATACACACAGTAACCTATTGCGTCTAAGTGGCTTTATCACCTTGATTGAATTGAAATAATTAAAAAAAAAACTATGTTACTCCATTTGTCCCTTTGGCTGTCATTGTATACTGTGCATGTCAAATTTTCTAAACTTCTTTCCTCATTATGGTTTCAAGATATTTCAGCTGTCATGTATGACAATAGCTATGTTTATTTATCGTTCACGCAGGTATTATTAGTCCTGGTACGACGATAGACTATATCTGGCAGCAAGGCCTCTGATCGGAAGATTGGAGGTTTTGGGCAACGTGGAACCACCTTTTAATTGCTGTTTCTCCCAGGTCCGCCCTGACCCGGGGTGGTAGCATCCGTTACGATTCCCATCAAACAGGGAACTCCAATAAACAACAACAAAACACTATCAATGTACAAAATACATTTTTATAATAAAAATACCAGCAATACATTTTTTATATAAAAAATATTAACAATACGTATTTATTGTAAAATTATCAACAATACGCACATACTAACAAATTGTAGCGACTTCACTTAAATCCGCTTAAAATATTACCAAACAACTAATATGAAAGAACTTATTCATGCCATTAATCCATATAATATCTTTCTGAAAGAAATCAAACATTATTTCCAAATTAGAACTTCAACAAAACTACAACATAGAAAAGTACATCTAGTAACTACGTCCACACAAACATGTATATGCACAAAAGCTGAGTATCATCTACCATGTATTCAATTGTGAAAGCAGAATAACATGTATTGTGTTTTTATTAGTTCCAAGCTGCCAAGAAAATTAATGTCGTAATTAAATGACCTATAACGAGTTGATATGCCGTTTAACCAGTGATTCCTAACTTTTTTTTTCCTCAGGGCCGCATTTTCGGAATGAAAATTTACTCGCGCCTCACCAAATTTTATGCGATAAAAACTACATTTTAAAAGCAAAAAAATGCAGAGAAAGAGTTAAAGGGAGATAACAGTTAGAGGATTATCATTGATAACTATCCCTTCCAATTTGAGGACTCTACTTACAATAATCTTAATACTTGATATAATGCAAAAATACCACAATGATAAAATCA